AACGTGTTGAAGGTATTCATCAATAACATATTTGTGGATAACTATTTATTTCATGTTGGTAAACGAACCATAAAGCATTTTAAACCAAGTAAATGTCGTAATACAAACGGGTCCATTGTGGTGTTTTAATTGAAATGGCAAGTGCAACATGTGAAATCATCCTAGAAAGAGAATAAAAATTACCAATTTCAAAATGTAGGATAATTTAACTAGAGAAACACATCAAAAAGATCTTTAGATTTGACTATAGATGTTTAAATAATCTCCCACAATTTAAAGCAAATTATTTATTTCTATGCTCCAGATTAATTTCAAGACGCGATGAAATTTTGAGGACACAATGGAGCTTAGTAATTAAATACAGTAAACTTCAAATGAAATTCTTCAAATATACAAAATTCTTGAATGCCTAGACTGGCGCCACTTTACTCAACATTCATAACTAATATGTACTTTAGTTTCAAAAATAGCCTGTACTTTTACTAGTGTAATCCACACAACCATATTTTTTTGCAAAAACACGCCAAGGTTTTTAAGTATTTAAAAACAGCGTTGATATGTAGATTCAAACAAAGCAATTACATTTTTTTTCACCAACTTTTTTTCTGAATTCAGATCACGTTACAATTTGACCCTACAACGTCAAATTGTAAAATAATAAAATACAATAAAAACACAACACCTCAAAACGCACAACCCTGTAGAAGGGAACAAGTTTCCCCTGGGTAGATTTATTCAAATGTGTACAAAGTACCTTGTTTAAGACTGGAGAGAGAAATAAAGTCAAACAGAACCCCACCTTTGGCTTGTTAGAGTTGACTCTGCTCAGCTAAACTCGCAGGTGCAGTGTTTCACCCGCAACTTACAGCTGTGCTGACAATAGTTTGTTGTTTTATTCTTTTCACCGCGATACAGTAATGTTTTACGTGATGTCTTTTGGTATATTTAGCAAATAAACTTGTTCTTGTTTATAAAGTTGAAACGTGAAGAATTTTAATACAATGTTTTCGAGTGAGAAGGTTGTTTTAAAAAAATCGGATTTTTGAAAAAACCGGTTTTGGTTAAAAATTAGTATTTCCTCAAACATTACTGTTCAAAAGTTATTGTAACTGATGTTATTTTCCCATTAAAACCCCATAAAAAATCGGATTTTATACAAAAGTCGCTTTTGATTAAAATTATTTTTTATGGTCCTTATAATAAAAAAAAATAGTTCAACCCCCATTGCTGAAACAATTACCGTTTAAAAGTTATATCAATTTTTGACATTTTCCCTATAAAATATCATAGTTACTCCCACCACTTACCCACGATAACGGTTGTTCACAAGCTAATGGGAGAAAGTATGTGTCAGATTGCTGATACTGTTTATTTTTTTTCCGTTGTACAATATTGTTGGCTTACCTAGAGATTAGATGTTGCCTGGTTCAAATCATCTCATTCATTTACAATCTTTAAGTAATCTTTGACCTTTTTTCAATGCGCACCTTTTTACATTGTTTGTACAAAGACCCTGTATTCAATTTTTAGGTTTTAAAATTCGCATTTGTTCGTGGTTCAATACTAAACAACTATCGATCTGAAACGCAATAACCTTCACGCATGATTAATAACACGTTACCTAATTATACAGGTTTACACAAAATCAAGTATAATCGTTAGAGTAAATACTATGTAACGAAATTAATAAATAATACAACCTTGGTATATTTGCATTGTTAAGCGAGTGAGTCTTGAGTAAGGTACCATACAAATTGTATTTTTCAACTTTGTTTGTGCTAAGATGACACATGATACAGTCAGCTTTTTTATAATCAGCTGTTAGGTTTGCTCAGCTCACAAATTGGTGTTAGGAGCAACGATCACATGTTAGGAGTTAGCGTTGGTCAACATCATAGTCTCAATGTGGTCTGCTCGATTCAATATGGTTCATTATTTTAAAACTGGAATTAATTGAATCTATGACTTCCAAAATATTTAAATAGTTAGTTTGGATCACAATCTGTTGTATCTGCATAGGTTTAAACTAAAAGCTAGATTTTCTAAAATTATTTAACTCAAATACTCCAATCGCTTTAAAGATTTAATTCCTTTACTATTGTTAGAAATCATCTGATATAAAAGTGATTATAGGCTTCACAACTAAAACAAAATAAAAGTATATTTTTGAGAAAAACCTTTCAGCTGGCCTTAACTTCTATGAATGATAGCAAGTACGGTTGCGTAAATATGGTTGGGCTAATGGATTTTCACCGATGTAACAAAACCGTAAATGTACTCCCTTATATATGTCTTGATTCCTCTATGCATTTCCCATCAGCCCCTCTCGGCCTATTATGTGCAGTCCGTTCTGGGTAGGCTGTCTTGAAAGGCTCAAGATGAATAACCAGCTGCTTGTGACATTAATGGACAAGATGTTTTGTCTGGTTTGGCTAGTCAAACACACAGCATGGTAATCTATAGAGACAATTACAGTCCTGGTAAACAATTGTCTCTGTATTGATTTAAATAAGTAACTTTACCAAAACATTTGATAAATAGAAGAATATCGTGAAAGTAACAACGTTTGGAAGAGACAACATCGTGTAAAAAGAATAGCATGTGAAACTATGACTTTTCACTATTACTTACTGTTAAATAATTATGGTATATAGATGAACGAAATGTAAAACAAGGCAACTGTGTAGACGACACAACTTCAAATAAATTTAACGAAATGATATAAAATTATATTCAAAAGTTTTCCTTTGTAAACCAATACCATAAAACTAATTACTAGTAAGTTTTACCCGTACTTGATAACTATAGCACAATCAAGATTTTTTTCCAACGTCACTTCTTTACTAGTTTTCTTGATTGGTGAAATACACTATACTGTTACATACCAAGTTAAACTCAAGTCTTTGTTTTACTTTTTTGTGTTCGTTTCCACACTGGTGTGTTAAGGTTAGAATAACTGAATGGATTTTTCCTCCCATTGTTTTAGTTAATACTTAATTTTCACAGATAGTTTCAAGTTTTTTTACAATTAATATATTTTCTTTTCAGAACTTAATTCAAATTATTTTTGTCTACTGTTTTTCCACGAAAACTTCCTAGGATTCGTCATTGAATAGATTGTTCTTTAGTTATAAATTTTCCTCACAAAACAATTAAACCAAACTGCAGTTAGTTCTCTACAGAAGGTAAACAATGTCCAAACCAGAATGCACATAAGTGAAACACCATTCGGAATATCACGGCTTGCACAACAATGGCGACCACATTTAGCGTCTGATGTGGCGAATGAAACATACCTGAGCATTTTGTTACTTGATGGACAGCCTGTGATTCAAACAATACAATACAGATGTACAATACACAATACAGAAGTACAATACTGCAATGGTATACATAGGCTAACAATGGACAGGAAGCATACTCTTGTGAGTTGGAGAGTTCTCACTACCATTTATCCAAAGACACTGTTATAATGCATAGCCTCACAAAAATTCGCGGAGCACACATTCTTAAACCTAGTATCAAGTTTTTTAAGTAAAAAATTCACATAATTGCTATTAATGTTACAGAAGAAAATTAAATTTTCCAATTGGTTAGGTGAACATAGGTTCGTGGCTAATTGCTTTGACGCTCTAAAATTTACAATCTTTCTGTTTTACTTTAGTGAAGACCTTGGAGTGTTAACATATGCTTAATTAATATTCGGTGCATTCCATTTGCTGTGTAAACGAATTTAGCTCAACTAACGGACAGACTGCACAGCTGTTTAAACCATCGTCCTCTTAACTTCATGTTAAACCAAGCGTCTTATTTATTTCAGCTTTCATAGTCTATACAAAATATAAAAAAAACAATTATAGCAGCAGTAGCTTACACCTTTAAAGCCTCTTTAAATTATGTTCTCGTCTATTAAAATAATTTTTTTGTCCTAGGACGCTAGGCACGAGCCTAGGATTGTTTTTCACATTACTTCAGGCTAGACCTAGGGGTTGCGGCATTATCACTTAGATAAAATCCATTGGTGACTTGGCGGAGATCGAACCCGGTGTCTCAGGGACTGAAGTCCCGCGCTCTAACCACTACACCAGCTCGCTCCCCAAAAATTAAAATAAAATTGATGTATTCGTATTTTACCATGAAACAAAGTATCTGCCTAGTATTAAAAGTCATAAAGATTATCTTATTTAGAACACAGGATATTGTACAAAAAAATGTAAAATGAAAATTTGTCTCCACAGTCTAAGTAAGGAAAATTAAATCGAAAACTTTTATTGAATACAGGAATAGTTTCCCTACACTCATGTGATATATTTGAAACTTTCCAGGGACGCAATAAACGATATTCTTTTGGTGTAATAATTCTCGCACAAAACGAAAGCAGTAAGTCAACGTCATAGACTCACAATATGCTGGTGATATTACTTCAGCGAACATTTCTCAGACCGAGACATAAGTCTATTACAATACGTCACGTTCAGTTCTTGATATTTAGATCGTGATCTGAATCACTTAGTGTTAGACTCAAGTTAAAATGTGTATTTTTCGGATTAAATTTAAAAATAAAATAATAACATTTACTTAATAAACACTATACGTGATAGCATCACATGGGATAAGAAAAAGTTATTGCTTCTCGATTACTTCAATCAAAAATTTATTTACATACTCGTACCTCCTTCACATAAAAACGCTAGGACCGTAATTTATACAGCACTGGGACTTTACAATATTGTTAAGAGTTAAAGAATATAACTTACTACTGAATCGTTCGAGTTTTAAGAATTCCACACGACTTTCCTTCATTTTAGGGGTTTCTTGAGGAATAATTCGCCTTAACTTAGTGGGCTTAAATACCTACACTTTTTATCGGTATACATGATTGATATTACCTTTTACATCGAAAACTATTTAGGAAAGCTACAAAAACATTGTTTATTTTACATTATTACCCTAGGTCAGTTTCAAACGCATTGTGTAACCATTGCAACTATTATTAAAATTTACAAATCTAACAAATCACTTTTGTTAAAATAAAAACTTGCTTGTAAAGTGTTGACATTCAGCTGATGATCGCCGTGTATTAGGCATGTAGCATGTAGCTCGACATGTATAAAGCATATAACATGTAGCTCGGCATGGATGCAGCATGTAGCTCGGCATGTAATTCGGAATGTATGTAGCCTGTAGTTTGGCATGTATGTAGCATGTAACATGTAGCTCGGCATGTATGAAGCATATAGCATGTAGCTCTGCATGTATGAAGCATGTGGTACATAACTCGACATGTATGTAGCATGTAACATGTAGCTCTGCATGTATGTAGCATGTAGCATGTAACTCGTCATGTTTGAAGCATATAGCATGTAGCTCGTCATGTATGAAGCATGTAGCATGTAGCTCGGCATGTATGAAGCATGTAGCATGTAGCTCTGCATATATGAAGCAAATATAACATTAAGCTCTGCATGTATGAAGCATATAGCATGAAGCTCGTAATATATGAAGCATATAGCATGTAACTCGGCATGTATGTAGCATGTAACATATAGCTCGGCATGTAGCATGTAGCTCGGTATGTATGAAGCATATAGCATGTAGTTCGGCATGTATGTTGCATGTAACATGTAGCTCTGCATGTATGAAGCATATAGCATGTAGCTCGGCATGTATAAAGCATGTAGCATGTAGCTCTGCATGTATGTAGCATATAGCATGTAGTTCGGCTCAGTCAGAACGAGCTTGGTGACAATACGGCACGTTTTTACGCCTCCGTTTTTCACCCGACGTGATCTGAATGGATAAACGTGACTCAACTAAGCGATCCTCGAGCTTTTCTCAGAAACTTTTATGAACACACTCCACGATGCATCATGCATACGAATCTGCCACATGAGATAAATGCAGTTTTATGTTAGCTTATACTTCTAGTTGGGTAACTGAGTGGTTTAGTGTTTGTCAAAACTCGGGAGGTTGAAGGTTCGTGTCTAAATAAATTATTATGCTTTTCTCTAGGTTTCAAATACGGGACCAAACTGTAATTTTTCATTGCGTTTTGGTTTCAATAGATGGTTACATAGCTACACAGATCCTCTTCATTATATTCATTTATTCACGGTATAACTATTTTACAATAATTTATAATAAACATTCATTTCAACATTTCATCGAGATACTAAATAATAAATAGTTTGTCTACTCTCGTCCCTTATTAGCTTTTAGCGTAATAAGACCTTAAGGGTTAACATCTGTATTCTTGGGTATAGACAGTTATATAGAATGATTTCTTTTACATTTTGCATAGGTTCGGTAGAATTGTGTTTGCATTTAGGTCCCCAAGAGCTGTTTAGTTACGAAATACACATTTCTAACTGTAATCAGCGACATCATAAATGTTTCACGACATGAACGAGTGGTTTAGAGTAAGCCCAACTGAAATAAACACCACAGTGGTTTCCCGTATTGGCAGGTATTACGCTTGTTGGATAATAGAATTCAATACAAGGCTTATCGTCCAGTGCCATCAATTACACAGCTTACAATGTCAACTCTCTGATCGGTTAATGAACAATTCTGCGCGGTTTTTGGTTATCGAAAATATATTCTTTGATTGATTTTAAGAAACAATAAAAAGTCACTAGTTTCATATCGATAGTAGATAGCTCAGTAGTGCTCACCTGGTGATCATAAGGTCACCGGATCGAACCTGAGAAAAGTGTGAAATTTTTTGAAAGTTCGAAACTGGACCCAGCTGATCATTGGGCTTTCAATGGTCCTGACTAATAAAACAGCTGATAGGCAGTAAGAAAGCTACACAAGGCATCACACTCCATTCTACACTCATCCTTCACTCATATTTGGGTTAAAATACGCATATTGGTGGCGTCCCCATCTTAATATGAATATGAACAAATTTCAAGTAAAGATGGCTTTATTTTTTTTTCTTTGATATCTTTATTGTTGTTTTTTATACAATGTATAACACAAAGATACAGCACACACAAGAAACAATAGGCAACTTAGGTTAAAATGTCGGTGGATTTTATACACTTTCATAAGCTCTTAAATATAGAAGAGGCAGTTTGTCCGGTCACTTATGTCACTCTGTTGTAATTTACAGTGTGTGCGAGTTCTACCATAGACAAATAGAATTAAATATAGACTGTAAGCCATGCTTTGGTTAGCATAGGTTCTGACACACACCGCTGGGAGTGCCATGCAGTTACGGCTTTCGTGCTACGTAACTACACGGCACTCCAAGCGGTGTGCGCCAGAACCTATGGTAACCTCAGCACGGCTGACAGTCTATATTTAATTCTTTTTGTCAATGGTCATACAGAGTTATTTTCTTCAGTACTTTTATTAAATAAAAAAATATATTACAGAAAACATTTTCTAGTATTAAAACGTGGTGGTCTTTAGTAGAAAATGACTAAAATACAACCATTCCCATGAGAAGCCTCTAGATTGCACCGATTTGTGTTGCATTGCATATAGATTGCATGATTTTCAATATGTCCTTAAAGTATCTTAAAGCAAGGAAGTAAGTTGAAATATCTTGTAGAGGATGTTTGACACAAAGAAGTAAATAAGAAAGACGGACTGTGAGCTTCCACTGCTGGCGGGCTTCATTAAACTGCCTTTCGTACAAGTAAGATTGTCTTCATCAAATAATATCCGAGAACACAAAATATCCCTTAACTCGCTTTTCCTCACTCATATTGACATTGGGTTTCATTTCACTTTTATTTTTCCTACCTGAAAAATTACACAAATTTCGATCTAATTTATTTAAACACATTTATGGTTAAAGGTGATATAAATTAGATTAAATTCCGTAAGAATATTTGTCATTGGTTTAATCAGTATGCAGGTTCGCTGTTTAGAGGACAAAGTATTTTCTTAAACCAAAAATACTTTATTTCCGTTATTTTTTTACTCTGCAAATGCTATCAAAAGTATCACTGATAACTAGACTTCTGTCAAATAAAAAAAATATTATATTTTTCGCTATCGAGGACCCAAAAGTTAAACGTTTTTAATATTTAAAAAGAAAACGCATACCCACAGCACATTAAATTGATTGATTTTGAATAAAATCGAGTAAAATAATGACTATATTTTTAGATACCGGTACGAAAAATAAAAGTTACGTGATCAAAGAGAAATATCTTATATTACAAAAGTTTTATTTTCTTGTTCAGCTGTAAAGTTGCCATACTTTAAGACCATCGAATGGGTGAACACAGAAGCAATCTAGATATAATTGGTTTATAGATTAACAAGTAAAATCTCCTGTCATTGCCAAACATTGTCGTTAAGCTTTGTTTATCGCAATCGAAGCCAACTTTGATTTGAAAAGTATATTCTAAGTATAAAATAAGTATGATTGATAAATGATTCATTTACTCAAGATATCAGATTGTAAAAACATGTACAGAAGGACCAAAATTAAGTGAGAATTAAATAAACTATAATGTTTTTCTACTAAACTTTATTTCAATTACAAGCCTAAATCTTAAGAGAATATGAACTCACTTATTCAATAACCAACATTTTTGTTGTTGGTAATAAATAAGGGAATTGATGTTTAACCTGTTAAGATGGTTCCACCCGCCGGTTTTTTCCACGTAAACATGGTCCTACAAAAAAGAACCTCGTGGCATTATTAAGGTGTTTATCGAGTTGAAATACACTGAAATATATTCAAAAAGATCCAAACTATACATGTACTGAAACTTCGTAATTGTTTCTTTAATTATTTACAACATCACTTTAAAAATCCATAAATTAGTATTTTAGATGTGATTTTAGCTTCTAAATAATACTTAAACGTTAATTTATCCCCATTGCAATCTTTGATATGTTAAGAGCACAAAAATCACACAATCATTGGAAACAAATTAGTTGAGTTTTGAGAGCTTGTACCGTGGAGGCATGTTAAGAAACATTACCATGTTTAGCCGCCATCTTTAATTGACCGGGTAGAACTCTCTTAAATTAATTTAATCCCCGAGTCATAAATTGACATGACATATTGCCTCAATAGTTTAAACATAAATACAGCTCGTTTTAACGTCTTTACAATGTTTCCCGGACCACGTACAGCAGGAACCATAAAGTGTAAGCCACCGCTACATGCGAACACACTTACAGACTCTGCATATTTTTACGACTGCCGTAAATTATGACGATATTCCAAAGAGGATGAAACTTGTTTATCCCCACTTAAATGGTCCATAACCTCTTCTAATGACATTCCGAAATAAATTTAAGACCTTTGGGATGTAAAAGACTTCATGGAATACGTAAAAAGTATTAACTCATAAATTGTAAAACATTATAAATGAATAGTACGAGTAAGAATATTATTTTAATTGAATTTTAGCATAATGAAATTTATGTATCTTGTACAATTAATTAAGTTTTGTAAAATTTTAATATTATATAGTAAACGCAGACTTTTTACGTCGTTTCGGGGTCATTTAACTATATTCTACATTTAATAAAAGGTTTTTTCACGTCTGGTTTATATTGATGTACGTATTACACAGGGCAATGATAAAACGTTGGAACACTTTAACATTAATTCGAGCATACCAGGAATTAAAATAACTAGAAATAATATAACTCCAAACAAAATATGCTGAGAGCAATAGCAACTGTTAAAACCAAACAAAAATTTAATAAAAACAATAAAATAAGTTATGATATTTAAGTTTTCCACTTGGCACTCCATCCCAAAAGTGAAGTTTGAAAAGTCTATAGATCTGTAAATCAATGTTTATTTTTAAAATCATCAAATTTTCATAGTTATAACAACATTATTGTTAATCGTAACAATTTGGAGGATTAACTTCTTATTGTATTTTTGTGTTTCGGCAGTAATTAATTGAAACAACTTAGAACTTTAAAAACCCTTTATTTTGCAATTAAATATGATTCAACTTGTTGACAAATTGTGCCTAGCTTTAAATTTCATAGGGAAGATTATGTATTTTATTTTTTTTAGGCAAATTTAACGTTTTATTTACTCTTTGCATTTCCTCTCCTAACTTACTTACTGGAGCTACAGAGAATGCAGTATGTACCAAGTAGGCAAGGTTTAACAAGGTGTAGCTCCTAAACGAGAAGCCTAAGAGAAAGACTGCAACAAAAAAGTTTAAAATTGCATTTACATTCAAAACAATTATAAAATACAAGGTGTTTTACACACAATTTTTGAAAGTTATTTTTAGTAGATTTCATACAAAGTATGTCGTAAGAAAACAATGGAATTTTTAAATTTTTTTTTTTTTCAATCTTACTGTCAATGAGATTCTAATGGTGACACAGTCAAGTTTTTCACCATATGCACCAATATAGCAGTTTTAACAAAATATTTAGCGAGAATCACACAGAATTGTTCATTAACCGATCAGAGAGTTGACATTGTAAGCTGTGTAATTGATGGCACTGGACAATAAGCCTTGTATTGAATTCTATTATCCTACAAGCGTAATACCTGCCAATACGGGAAACCACTGCGGTGTTTATTTCAGTCTGAGCTTACTCTAAACCACTTCATTCCAAGTTAAATCATTTAAAATCACTCTTGACATTTATTCAAACTGTTATAAGGATCGTTTTAAATTTGGTATTCGGGTTCAAAGAAGAGAATGAGAAAATTTTACTAAGTAGCAAAAGGGAAATTCAAACTTTAATTTACAAAATATATCTTAAATATGGGAACATGTCAGATTAATACCAATTAATTAAATGAGCATACACACAGTTACTTGAGATTTGAGTCCTTGGGTTGGGTAGAGATGTCTGACGGTAGACTGAAGTGGGGAGCGAAGATCACCAGGGGCGGACAGTCTTTGAATGGGTGAATCTTCTCCAGGAGCGTGTAGATGAGGGGATTCTGCGTAGCCGTAGAATCCGTAGAAGGTAGAAGTTCACAAAATCATTTAGAGATGGATGGATCTGGGAAAGAAAAATGGCTAAGTCCCGATTGCAATACCTATTTCAGATAATTTAGTATATCTCAGGTATTTATGGGTCTAGGAAGATAATTTTTTCACAAAAATATTAAACTCTTTAAGAGCACTAACTCTCTGGTCAAATCTCAAGTAACTGTGTATATACTCATTTAATTAATTGGTATTAATCTGACATGTTAAAATATTTAAGATATATTTTGTAAATTAAAGTTTGAATTTCTCTTTCGCTACTTAAATAAATTATCTCCTTTGGTCTAACGTTATAAATTACTACAAATTCAGAATCCGGCTCGAAGGACCATTTTGTTGGGGGCGGGTTCAGAGGAGAGAATGAGAAAATTTTACTTTAAGAGTGTTTGCTAATATTGAAGTTTGGTAAAATAAATCAAATATACATTACTTTTATAGAGGCAGAAACCTAAAAATACTGCAATTAAGGGCTAATATTACACAATTCTTAAAAATAACACTAAACATATCTTACAACAAGTAATCAATAACAACGAGGGAACACTTGTACAATTATTGAAGTAGGTAAGTTGTGAAAGCAGAATAAGCTACTAGTGATGTGACAAAACCAAATCTCAAATCTCAAAACCATCAAAACTACGGAAAAGTTTCGGTTTCGAGATTCGATCACTGAGTTTTGAGATTCAAAATTGAGGATTTTGGCAGTTATATTTCTGAAACTGCTGATATTTTTTGCCCCATTATTATTTTTATTAACACTATTTTCACACAAGATGGTAGCAATAGAGCAAACAGATCACCATTAACAGTAATGAAACAAGTTAATTATATTCTGAACTTCAAAAGGCATTTTAAATACTATAACTGAAACGACATACAATTCAGTTTCATAACAATATTTACTAAACAGAAACAAAAAGAAAATATTTACCACTAAATGTTTTAATTGATTTAATATGCATGTTTATGTTAAGCGACTATAATAAGACAATAAACCGAAACCTTTCCGAAGTTTTGATGGTTTTGAGATTTGAGATTTGGTTTTGACACATCACTAGTAGCTTATTCTGCTTTCACAACTTACCTACTTCAATGATTGTACAAGTGTTCTCTCGCTGTTTTTGATTACTTGTTGTAAGATATGTTTAGTGTTATTTTTAAGAATTGTGTAATATTAGCCCTTAATTGCAGTATTTTTAGGTTTCTGCCTCTATAAAAGTAATGTATATTGATTTTTTTTTACCAAACTTCAATATTTAATTAGCAAACACTCTTAAAGTAAAATTTTCTCATTCTCTCCTTTGAACCCGCCCCCAACAAAATGGTCCTTCGAGCCGGATTCTGAATTTGTTGTAATTTATAACGTTAGACCAAAGGAGAGAATTTATTTAAGTAGCGAAAGAGAAATTCAAACTTTAATTTACAAAATATATCTTAAATATAGGAACATGTCAAATTAATACCAATTAATGAAATGAGTATATACACAGTTACTTGAGATTTGAGTCCTTGGGTTGGGTAGAGATGTCTGACGGTAGACTGAAGTGGGGAGCGAAGATCACCAGGGGCGGACAGTCTTTGAATGGGTGAATCTTCTACAGGAGCGGGTAGATGAGGGGATTCTGCGTAGCCGTAGAATCCGTAGAAGGTAGAAGTTCACAAAATCATTTAGAGATGGATGGATCTGGGAAAGAAAAATGGCTAAGTCCCGATTGCAATACCTATTTCAGATAATTTAGTATATCCCAGGTATTTATGGGTCTAGGAAGATAATTTTTTCACTAAAATATTAAACTCTTTAAAAGCACTAGCTCTCTGGTCAAATCTCAAGTAACTGTGTATATACTCATTTAATTAATTGGTATTAATCTGACATGTTCAAATATTTCAGATATATTTTGTAAATTAAAGTTTGAATTTCTCTTTCGCTACTTAAATAAATTCTCTCCTTTGGTATAACGTTATAAATTACTACAAATTCAGAATCCGACTCGAAGGACCATTTTGTTGGGGGCGGGTTGAAAGGAGAGAATGAGAAAATTTTACTATTCTGAACTTCAAAAGGCATTTTAAATACTATAACTGAAACGACATACAATTCAGTTTCATAACAGTATTTACTAAACAGAAACACAAAGAAAACATTTACCACTAAATGTTTTAATTGATTTAATATGCATGTTTATGTTAAGCGACTGTAATAAGACTATAAACCGAAACTTTTCCGAAGTTTTGATAGTTTTGAGATTTGAGATTTGGTTTTGACACATCACTAGTAGCTTATTCTGCTTTCACAACTTACCTACTTCAATAATTGTACAAGTGTTCTCTCGTTGTTTTTGATTACTTGTTGTAAGATATGTTTAGTGTTATTTTTAAGAATTGTGTAATATTAGCCCTTAATTGCAGTATTTTTAGGATTCTGCCTCTATAAAAGTAATGTATATTTCATTTATTTTACCAAACTTCAATATTAGCAAACACTCTTAAAGTAAAATGTTCTAATTCTCTCCTTTGAATCCGCCCCCAACAAAATGGTCCTTCGAGCCGGATTCTGAATTTGTGGTAATTTATAACGTTAGACCAAAGGAGAGAATTTATTTAAGTAGCGAAAGAGAAATTCAAACTTTAATTTACAAAATATATCTTTAATATGGGAACATGTCAGATTAATACCAATTAATTAAATGAGTATATACACAGTTACTTGAGATTTGAGTCCTTGGGTTGGGTGGAGATGCCTGACGGTAGACTGAAGTGGGGAGCGAAGATCACCAGGGGCGGACAGTCTTTGAAGGGGTGAATCTTCTCCAGGAGCGGGTAGATGAGGGGATTCTGCGTAGCCGTAGAAGGCAGAAGTTCACAAAATCATTTAGAGGTCTTCCTGTCACAACACTTTGGTACTTTTACAAATTAAATGGAACTCTCTGACATTTAGAAGGGGGCGATATTATAAAACACATACTTTAATAATTGCATGTTAAACGTTATTAGTTTACTTTAAAACAGTCAAAATCTAATCTACTATATACAAGAGAATGAGCAAGGAGTACATGTTGACTCTGGGTTAACTAATGCAAGAGTGGACAGTGCAGACTGGAAAAGTAGGTCAGATAAGATAAGCTATCTTTGGAAATCCTGGTACTAGTTGAAAATTCAAATATATTAAACTAAAACCAAACAGGAATATTTAGATTAAGTTATATGGATATTATAACGGAAAATAGGTTACAGTCGATAGACATCTTGATTTTATAGATGTGTTTAATGTCGTTACAGATGATTGGAAGAAAGTATTAAACTTAAACATATTTTAAACCACCCCTCCTTCGTACGGGGTTAGCGTGTAAATATACTTATTGCAGTTATGGGAGAGGACAGGGTTTAAGAAAATTTGGTTATCTATCTATATGTTAATATGCAAGCATGTTTCTTAAAAAAAAATTTCTCAGCTCGTGTGCATCGCAGGAAAAATTTACGCATACAGTTAGAATGATATTTTCCTGTAGATGTGCAGAATCCCTTTGAAAATTAAAATAGGCTCAAAAATAAGCACATAATTGAATTTGAAATTTAAATAACAATTATATGGACTTAATAGGTTGCTATGCTGGAGACGAAAAAACAACGAAATATAAACAGAAAATCAAAACAAATTGGAGAAATTACAATCACATGTTTTATTTACAGCGAGGGGTGAAAATATAGAGAAGCCTGTACCTTTGAATTACAACTAGACATTCCATCCCAATGTTAAAGTTGTTGCCAGTTTTAATGAAATGGATATTGAGTAGTTGATGTGAGCCACCAATAGATTGCACTGATTTCTGTGAATACACGAGGTTTCATACCGAGTCAAACTTATGGAATGGCACTTATGATAATGTTATTATAAGCTATTAGCAAAGCAACTGTTATGACCCATCAACTTTGTCAACAACAAACAATTAGGTAGAAAATATAATTTTAGACACGCATTCTTGACTGGCTCGCACAACTACATGTTTTTTAATAAAAAAATAGCAACAGCAGGTCCTCATATATGAGATGTCTACTTCAGTATCCAATAGTCAATGCGTGTACATTACATATTTTTGGTCGAGTTTTCGACCCTTGGACGACCCCTAGTTTTAGTTTATACGGTATACTATAGTATAGCACATCTACCATAGCCATAATATTCAGTTGACCTAATCCATAGAACATATTAAAAGTTCTCATTTTGTACCACAGCTTTTTGTTTCTTGTTGGTTCAAATTAGCTGTTATAAATGCACAAAGATAATAGTGCTGCACCCTGTTGGAAAACCTTATAAATTTTTGATGCTATTTAATATTATAGAACCAACTTGTGCAGTTAAAACAGCTGAGAAAATTATTATTCCTTTTAAATATGAATACTCATAAGGTTAACATGCGAAACTCCAGAGCCACTGGGGCTGAGCCTGAAAGGATTTTTGAGATTAGAATATGTCTATATGTTAATCGGAAATGTGAGCTATCATCATACCAAATTTTAAACCAATTCAACCAGTATAGTTAATGCGTTATTGAATTTCAAACGAATAAATACACAAACTATCACATTTTGTTTTAAACAGTGTTGTGTAGGTTTAGTATTTTTAGCTTTTACTTTTAACAAACATCCATACATCCGAACTTTCTCACTTATAATATTAGTAGGTTCAATGTATCATAGCGATCAACCATGTATAAAAACAATGTATAATGTTAATTAATACCAATTATTTTTGTACATTACATTAATTTAGCAACACAACAGGCCGCTGTTTCATTACATTAATTACAATACATGTTACAAGGTGTGGTAATGTTGAATTCGTTTTTACTAAGGCTAATTTATATTCTGGTCTGTGTCAGAAGTATATCATCCAGGCAGAGTGGGTAAACATGTAACTGCTTTTCTACGTTGTTCCGAGCGAGAAACGTTCTCAGAAAAACGTTACAGCGAAAAAACGTAAGTTGAAAATGTAAAGAAGACCAGAGTAGAATTTAATTTTGTATGTGATTTAATTATCAGCCTATTACTGTTGCTCATTCGTAGTTTTGAAATTTTGCAAATAATAATAATAGCGTATTAGGTCAGGTTCGCGCTGTTTTCTAGTGAAACAATTTTAAACTAGATCCAATTATTTATCTTTTTCGAGGTTATTATCAATCATTGAGATAGGGACCTAGGTACGAACTCTAAGCCAATATGAGCGAAGGATGAGTGTATGTAGGATGATCAGTGTAGCTTTGTTACCGTCTGAGATCAGCTGTTTTATTAGCCAGGATCATTTATTTAGCTCTATGATCAGGAACAGCTGGGTCCAGTTTTGAACCATTAACAAGCTTAAGACTAATAACCACCAAAGTATACAATGCAGGCTTTCTATTAAATGAGTAGGAAGTCAATGCATTGCCTGAAGCCTGTAGGCAAAGTATACAATGCAGGCATTCTATAAAATGAGTAGGCATTCAATGTATTGCCTGAAGCTTTTAGGCAAAGTATACAATGCAGGCATTCTATAAAATGAGTAGGCACTCAATGCATTACCTGAAGCTTATAGGCAAAGTATACAATGCAGGTTTTCTATTTAATGAGTAGGCATTCAATCCATTGCCTACAATGCAGGCATTCTATTAAATGAGTAGGCATTCAATGCATTGCCTGAAGCTTTTAGGCAAAGTATACAATGCAGGCATTCTATTACATGAGTAGGCATTCAATGCATTGCCTGAAGCTTTTAGGCAAAGTATACAACAATGCAGGCTTTCTATTAAATAAGTAGGCATTCAATGCATTGCCTGAAGCTTTTAGGCAAAGTATACAATGCAGGCTTTCTATTAAATGAGTAGGCATACAATGCATTGCCTGAAGCTTTTAGGCAAAGTATACAATGCAGGTATTCTATTAAATGAGTAGGCATTCAATGCATTGCCTGAAGCTTTTAGGCAAAGTATACAATGCAGGCTTTCTATTAAATGAGTAGGCATTCAATGCATTGCCTGAAGCTTTTAGGCAAAGTATACAATGCAGGCTTCCTATTAAATGAGTAGGCATTCAATGCATTGCCTGAAGCTTTTAGGCAAAGTATACAATGCAGGCTTTCTATTAAATGAGTAGGCATTTAATGCATTGCCTGAAGCTTTTAGGCAAAGTATACAATGCAGGCTTCCTATTAAATGAGTAGGCATTCAATGCATTGCCTGAAGCCTTTAGGCAAAGTATACAATGCAGGCTTTCTATTAAATGAGTAGGCATACAATGCATTGCCTGAAGCTTTTAGGCAAAGTATACAATGCAGGCATTCTATTAAATGAGTAGGCATACAATGCATTGCCTGAAGCTTTTAGGCAAAGTATACAATGCAGGTATTCTATTAAATGAGTAGGCATACAATGCATTGCCTGAAGCTTTTTGGTAAAGTATACAATGCAGGCATTCTATTAAATGAGTAGGCATACAATGCATTGCCTGAAGCTTTTAGGAAAAGTATACAATGCAGGCTTTCTATTAAATGAGTAGGCATACAATGCATTGCCTGAAGCTTTTAGGCAAAGTATACAATGCAGGTATTCTATTAAATGAGTAGGCATTCAATGCATTGCCTGAAGCTTTTAGGCAAAGTGTACAATGCAGGCTTTCTATTAAATGAGTAGGCATTCAATGCATTGCCTGAAGCTTTTAGGCAAAGTATACAATGCAGGCTTTCTATTAAATGAGTAGGCATACAATGCATTGCCTGAAGCTTTTAGGCAAAGTATACAATGCAGGCTTTCTATTAAATGAGAAGGCATTCAGTGCATTGCCTGAAGCTTTTAGGCAAAGTATGCAATGCAGGAATTCTATTAAATGAGTAGGCATTCAATGCATTGCATGAAGCCTTTAGGCAAAGTATAAAATGCAGGCTTTCTATTAAATGAGTAGGCATTCAATGCATTGCCTGAAGCTTTTAGGCAAAGTATACAATGCAGGCATTCTATTAAATGAGTAGGCATTCAATGCATTGCTTGAAGGTTTTAGGCAATGCTACAATGCAGGCATTCTATTAAATGAGTAGGCATTTAATGCATTGCCTGAAGCTTTTAGGCAAAGTATAAAATGCAGGCTTTCTATTAAATGAGTAGGCATTCAATGCATTGTCTGAAGCTTTAAGGCAAAGGAAGTGAAATAATAAGCTTTAAATGAATTTATAAATGACTCGGCGTTCTTAAGAGTGTCCACAGGGGTGTTAGACAAATTATAAAATATACATTTGAAAAAAAAAACTTACACAACAATATTGAACTTTTTTGTGCAAGGTTAGTTGTCACTTTATGTTAGTTCATCTTAGTTTATCTTAGGCCTTTATCAGATGAGCTAATTTTTAAAAAGTATCGAAAGTCTAAAAAAAAACTTAAGAAACTCCCATAAAACATACGAATATTTTGTAAATGCTTGGGATACGTTTGTTTATTTTAGATTAGATAAATCCTAACAAGAATACATAAAGCGTTTTCTATACCTAACCTTCAGTGCCAATAGCATTACAGTGGCATTCTATAACAGAAATAGAAAAGTATAAGGAATCTACGATATGCACATATACAATTCAAATTATTGTATTTACACTCCATATTTTTATAAATACACATTCTTGAGTCTAACACTAAGTGATTCAGATCACGATCTAAATATCAAGAACCGAACGTGACGTATTGTAATAGACTTATGTCTCGGTCTGAGAAATGTTCGCTGAAGTAATATCACCAGCATATTGTGAGTCTATGACGTTGACTTACTGCTTTCGTTTTGTGCGAGAATTATTACACCAAAAGAATATTATTTTTTAGAATTCGTATCATATTGCATTTATGCACTTTTTTGTAAAGGTGCTTTTATGGAACAAAGGTTATGCCATTGATTTAAAAGTAGTAATAGAATATTTTATTATCATTGTAATGGATCCAATAGTAATGTTTCCAAGTATTGTAGTGGTCTAGGGATTGAGCGCGGGGCTTCGGTTCCCGAGGTACCAGGTTCAAATCCAACCAATCACCAATGTATTTTATCTATGTGATAATGCCGCAACCCTCTAGAACTAGCCTGAAGTAATGTGTAAAACAGTTCCGGGCTAGAACTAGCGTCTTAGGATGTGAAGGTGGGACATAACCAAATATGTGGTGTTTTTATAAGTGCATTACTGACTAAGTAAATCTTTGAGAGAAAGTTGTCTTGTACGAGTATGGTGAACTACTTATAGTGAAGTAGGTCGGGGTAAAATCTTTCCAGTGACCAAAGGTAGACTGGTATACCATAATAATGGTCAAATATTTATTGCTGAGATTTTCCATCACAATAGTAAAATCAATACACAACGTTTCGGGATCTGGAATCTGATCCCGTCTTCAGGTGAAAAAAACTTAACTAACACAAAACAAATACACAAACGCCCAACATAAGTTGGAATGGATTAAAGAGAGTAGAACACAAATATATGCTTCGACAATGAACTTTAAACCAAGGACCATAATAAAGTTGCACATATCGGTTCAGAAAGCTAATAAACTAAAAAATAAAGATGTGTTTCTAGGGTAAGAATGACTATCACCATTAATTTCTTCGCTCCGTTCTCCACAAAAATAAATTCGATTACTTAAACCAAACACATTGCAACTGTAGTAAGAAAACTACTATAACAGAAAAGAAACAAAAATGCGTTTACAAAAAAAAAAATAATAATAACTTACTTGAAGGAATATAATTTGTTAAATAAATTTACAACACTTTTATGTGTACGTGATAATTATTCATCTTAAAATTACCAATACTAACAATCAATCGATAAAACTTAAACTGTAAAGTAATTAATGTTATATTCAATGAGACTGTTGACAAAAGAGTAACAAACACAAAGCTTTGAGCACACATTGTTGTTAAGTCCCTAACAGCCCGTTAGGGGAGCTAGTGTGGAGTTTACGTACAAACGTAACATTGGTTAAGCTAATGACTGCTACAGCTGATCGAGTTAGGTTCGGTTCCACAAACTGTCGACCAATTGTCAATTAGATCCCGTTCCCGCCACTTCTTGTCATTTTGCCGCGTTTATTTCCAGAATTTCTTTCACGTCAGTGGCATTTTTAAATGTTTAGAAAGGGGTATGAATGTTTTTGATTGTTACTAATGTTTAGTTGTAAACGTATTAAGATTATAATATAATAAGTATGTGAAATATAATGATTGCATTTTTGAATTTATTTTGTAATACAGTAAATTCTTATGAATTTTTAAACACATTTAATTTGTTTACAAATAATTTTACGATGTATGATGATATGATGATAATAGAATAATATCCTGGAATAAGTTTGATTAATGTTTAGTGGTAATCATATTTTTTTAATATTACAAATTAATTTCATAAAATTATAACCATATAATTTATAGTGATCTGTATACATTCATCCAATTCATAAGTTCAGTTTCACGTTTAAACTGAATCATCAAATTAAAATGATACAGTTACACTAAATTTGTTATTGAATGCCAATCCCACTAATTACTATTCATATTATTTTATTCAAGTAATATTGTTACTTGTTAGGATCAATAATTAATTACTGGTTGAAAAAAAGAAGCCAAAAAACTCTTAGGTCTAAGAATAAGTTATGCGTACATTTATGGGATGAATCAGCAGCTTTCGAACTTCCACTTAAAGCTAGAGAAAACGTAAAAAATGTGTTATTTCTATTTTAGTCTTTACTCTTAAAAATGCATACAACATGTCACCTAGCAACATAACTTGGTAATAAACATCCGAATTTAAAAAATTCTAAGTGAAATCTTTTGAAAATTCAAAATTCCAAAATGTTAGTTAGGACAGTATTTTCAATGGTACGAAACCATATTTGTCGACCAGTGACCCGATCATTCACGGTAAGCTAAAATTTAACTAAGTTATGGCACATATTGTATTCTTTTACAATAGCCTATAATAATAGATACCTAAGATGTCTTAATTTTAATCCTACAGCATTTATCACTCATTCGATCAGTCTCTTGTCGAGTCTCTGATATAAAACGTTTTTACTTTGTTTAATGTTCTGTAAGAGGTTATTTGAACCATACTTATCTGTTCTACGGCCCTCAACCGTTTTATGGGCAAATCACGATAAAACAGGTGGAGAATGTACGTATTAGCATGGTGTTAGTTTTCTGAAACTGTTGATTATTCTCTCTGGCCACTCTCAGTAGTATTTTAACCAACTAAGTTACCTTGTGTCAGTCCCAATACGTGTTCCAAGTGTCTTCAGTCACCACAAAGTCTCTCTGATTGCGCTTCCGTCTTGTCTTCACTACTAACGGTCTGAGGACCACTTCTTTGACACTTAACTACTTCCTTTACTTCTCCAGAGTTTCAACCAACAAAGTTACCTTGTGTCCCAAGACGTGTTCCAAGTGTCTTCAGTCACCACTAAGTCTCTCTGATTGCGCTTCCGTCTTGTCTTCACTACTAACGATCTGAGGACCACTTCTTTGACACTTAACTACTTCCTTTACTGCTCTTTTGGAAGTGGATTTTCTCAATTTTATACTATGTTAAACCTAAAATGTGTACTGATTTGAGTCACGTTAACGATGTGATGTTTTTTAAGAGATAGCATACAATATTGTTAAATATTTCAAACCCATTCTTTATAATACATTTCCATGTAAACTTTAGCCAAAGTTTTCCAAATACACATAAACTAACTAGAATCTTATTTTTAGTACTAAACTTAACCTCGAGTTTTTTCCCAGCGACCTGCCGACGGCCTCCACGGCCTCTCGCTCCAAGTCCACAAGGGGAATGAGGAAACAGACGAGACCTTGGACTTCCTGGAATCGACCTTCGCCAGGGAGGAACCCATAGTGAACACCTTCCAGATAGACGACACCTGTGATCTTCAGCGCTACTTGAAACACCAGCTGATCAACGGACACGTCGTCAAACTGGTTAACGAAGACTGTGAGATCCTCTCAGCAGCTGTGTGCTGCTCCACTAGTCCCGGCAGCTCTGATAAGACAAGGACATTCGCAGGTAAGATGTCACTTTGTATTGAGGAAAAATACAATTCACTGATTGAGGGAATTGCTAGACGTTGGCCTCCATTTGTACTAGGGGAGTGCATTGTACTTGCTAGATTTTTGAACTTCTGTCCGCGAGGCAGGCGAAGGACTCTAAGGGATTACATCCCTCACTCACACACTGAGACACAACTACACACACACACATGGTTCACGCGCCGTAGGGCCCTGCTGGCGAGTGCGCGTGCGTTGGAGGAAGCGTCGTTAATCCCTCAAAGTCCGCGTGCCTAGAGGGGTTTGTGGGACTGTACATATATAAGGCCATGACCCTACAGCTGACTCCCCTAGTTGGTACCAACAAAATTACAGTGTCGCTGAGTTACCGTGTCAATACTACCTCAAGTTGTATTCTAGTTCAGTGGAAACAATTGATAAATTGATACAGTGTAGACTTCAATTCTGACACAGCTATGAAGCTATTATGACCAAACGAGTGTTGAGAGATTTAATTATTTTCGAGTGAAGTGTTTTCCTAAGGAAAAATTATTCCACTATCTAGGTAGCTTAGTATACTCTGTGAGATGGAACCTGTATCCTGACCCTACGTCTTCCTGGGGCCAACGATTTATGCCGGGGCTCTGGAAGACAGGTTCAGGAGACAGGTTCTACCGTACAGACTATAGTTATATAAGCTTTGTTATAATCAGGAGGTTGCCCGCTCAAACCTAAGGAAGGTGACATTTTGATGGTTCGGAACTGAATCTAGCTAATCTTAAACCCTTAATCTTCGTCAGTAAATAAGCTTTTAAAGACTAACCACTACATTTAGCACTCAACTTTAATTCACATTCAGCTTATAATATCATACACTGTATTATATCACAGCTTCAACAAAATGATTGTTAAAAAAGTTAACTGGAATTAATATTAGGCTATAAGAATGGTATTTTTCAACAGTAGATTCTATTAACGTTTTTGTAAGTTAAAATATTTCGCTTTAGACAATTAGTTCCTCAACATTAAGAAGCAGATCAAATTTTTATGGGAAAGTATTGTACCTTGGGACAATTTGAAAACAAATATTTTTCTTTTCTCAGGTACAAAATACCAGAGAAATGAAAGTTGGCTCAACGTACAACTGCATGTTTTGCCTTGGAATGTGGGGTGTTGTACCTAGGGAAAAAATGAAAAACTAACAAGTTTTAGCAAATAAACCATTTAATTACATATCAAAATATAAAAACCATTACAGCAAATATTATCTACCAGATTAGCCCAGATAAATATACCAGACCAGTTTATGGACACAGCAGTGATATTCACAGGGAACCTAAGTGGTTTTTTTGACGCACTGAAAATCCTGTAGCAACGGGAGAAGACAATTTACAAATGATCCATTTTTCGTCTTTTTCATATTTAGTCTCATCTCTTAAAATGAACGTGTTTGTTCAGTTTTAACTAAGTACTGCGTTCCGTACGCAATGTCTATCTTTAAATTATTTTTGGTACATAATAAATCATTTTCTTCTTGGCAGCTAGTTTAACTTAAGTCTTCTTTGATTTCGCCACATCCAAGTTACGTATCAATGATTGAAAATATGTTCTTAAGTAGCCTAATTATAATTATTGTTTATTCGTCATTCAGCAGCGTGCTTCAGGTACGTCCGATCTTAATAATCAATAGCTCAAATAAAACCTAGTATTTCACTGAAGGTTCTTAAATCAAAACATCTAGGATACTGTAATTAGAACGCTTGATGGCATATCTGTGTGTTCTTACATTTTATTTAAGACTAAAACTATGAAAATCGGCCGGGTAGAAAAGCTGTACCGAATCGGAAAAGAAAAACTAATATTTTTTTATTGATGTAATTTGTATAACGTAATGATTAATAAATACAGTATATACCTACAACGATGAACTACCCACAATGATATCTATACTTAAAGTTATTCCCCATAGCTCAAACACTCCCACATTTACTATTACATTCAAGTTATCAACGTGACGATTTGAAACCCTTCATACCCCGTTTAATTAAAACTACTCTCATTTTTGCTTAATCTCGTCCTTAAAACCTCTTCTGAACTCATTACCACAGAGTAGGTCGGGGTTTGTGTGTTTATGAGATTGCTGCTATTATTCCTGCATTGCACTTTGCTTTTTACTGCTTCAGTTTCTTGATTATATGTTAACCTTTGCCTTTAGTTCGTCTGTTGTCTTTGTGGCATTACGTACTTAGTTGGATTCAAACTTACAATAGCACTGTCAGGGGGAAATTCGTATTATCGAGGTATTCCTAATTAAGAGGTTAGTTTTTTCGAGGGTTAATACTGTATTTATTCGTCTTATCTATATATTAATTTGAAACTGTTTTTCTTTGTCATAGCTAAATTGAGAGAACGGCTGGGCGTAGAAACTCGGTAGAAGTGTCTAAAGAAAGGTCTTGGTCTGTAGATGAGCCATCAAAAGAGAAACGTGGCAAATTCCCTTGGGGCTCTGCCCCAGTGGCCTTTGAATTCCCATCCCATGTTATTCTTATGGAGGAAAAACTGGGTTTTTGTTCCAGCTAATTTGAGAGAACGGCTGGGCGTAGAAACTTGGTAGGGGTCTCTAAAGAAAGGTCTTGGTCTATAGATGAGCAATCAAAAGAGGAACGAGGCAAATTCCCTTGGGGATCTGCCCCAGAAGCCTTTAAAGTCGCCTCTTCAAATTTGTATACCATATGCATAATTCTACACTACTTTTTAATGAAACAGCTGTAAATATTTAAATTGTGATTTATTGAATTTTTCAAAATGAAGTACAGTATTTGCAATGGGTTTTCTTATTTTAAAATCGATTTTATTCTGCATCGTGTCATGTTTTGCAATATAATGTCGATTACCAAATCAGTGGAAAATCCTAATATCACAGTAACTCTTAAAATTATTTCTTATGGAGTTAACTTATAATCTATTGCATGGCTTGGTTTCTGCCTTTTTTTACCACTTTTGGAGATTGTACGTAGGTGATATTCTTTGGCGTATTGCATCTGTAGACGAAACTTGGGTTGGTGAAATTATTGCAATGGAAACAATCTAGAAATCCTGGACAATTTGATATAGGCTAAAAATTAAACTGAATTAACAATATGCTACATTTCTTGAGCAATCATTGAAATAACCGATTTGCAAACAATGGAAACATAGAAAAAGTCATAGAACACAACCAAGTAGAAGAAAAGAAATAATGTTTTGTTTTCATTTATAATCGTTATTATAGACAACCTAATGCGGCTATGAGAAGGAAAAATTTTTAGAAACACTAAAAAACAAGATCAGCTTTTTGAGAAAAGATAAGATATTTACAAAAGATTTTGATTATATCTAACTGTTGCGTAGATCGTGAGTATTTCCATAACCTTCGTGAGTCGCCTGTAATGCTTCGCAATTGCTCGAATTCGAGCAACAGGTACACTAGTAGAGGTTTATTCTTATAGATGAATTAAAGAGGGATGGGTGGGGGTTTCACGTTGAGACAAGCTTCTGTTTTGAAAACTACGTACTATGTAGGATAAGATCATGGGGAATTCGTCTTGTAGAGGTTTTGTGTATAGAGGTTATAGAAGTTAAGTAGTCCTGGCTAATGTCACAAACAAATTCGTCTATGGATGTTTTTAACCTAATAACTACGTTGTATAGAAGCGTTTTTCGTATTGACATTTATGATACTTTTAAAAAAATCATCTTATTGAGGAATTCGTTTTTCTTGAGGTTCGTACTAACCAACTTACCACTTGATACTAAATGTCTCAACTTAGCTATTTATTGTTCCAATTGCGAATAAGGTTTTCAACGTTTTCAAACCACAAGGCCTAGTGTTTTCGCCAAACATCTGTTCTAAACGGTTCAAATTATACCGATCATTAAGTAAATTACGCTGCATGTGGTGCGACTCACTAGTTCGACACTCGGTCTCCACTATAATCACACCGATGTAAAAACATAAAAGATAACGAAGGTAACTTTTTATGAAGTAGAAAATCCCCTCTACAAACAACTACAGTAAAAAAACAAATCATGCTATCATGGGATAACATTCTAATTAAAATTATGTATAGAAAGTAATTTATAGAATTAGTGATTCAAGGTTCTCATCAACATCTTTATTTTTTATGTTTTCTGTGCATGATTATTTTTATTATTAATTGAAACGGGGACGCCACCTAGGTGCGTATTTTAACCCGAATATGAGTGAAGGTTAAGTGTATGATGGAGTGAGATTTTCTGTGTAGCTGCATTACTAGCCAAAATCTTTTATTTTAAAGTCCGATGATCAGGAACAGCTGGGTCCAGTTTCGAATCATGAAAAAAATACTGACTTTTCTCAGGATCAATCCGGTAACCTTATAATTGTTGGGCTTAAACTACTCTTTAGACGTTATACTTAGGTTCATCTATTGATGGACCTAAAGCTTTAGATATTCTTTGAATAATCAATTCTAGAATTTTAAAAAGACTGCGAACAAATTTACTATTAACGAATTTCGAACATGTTTTTCGGGCCTAATAGTTGATATGTATTTTGATATTTGTATATTAATGGTTCACAAAACATTATATAATCATGATACAATGTATTTTCGTACAGATTGCAACACGTGTTGCCCCAAGACCAAGCGTCTGCTTCACTTCTGGGCTGACATGTCTGACAGCCACAACCTCTACGAGTGCTTCAAGGTCAAAGGTCTCTGGGAGATATCGTACCTGGCAACGTCAGCTACCGGGAGGAACAAAGGCTTGGGCAAAGTGATCGTATCAGAGAGCAAACTCCTCGGCAAGAAGGTAGGTTGGACAACAGTCGTGCAATTGCGCAAACGAGTTCCTTAATTGCGCCAAGCCCAAGCCACTTAGGGGTGGGTTGCGGGCAGAAGTAATTTGTTTATGTGTCATCCTTACCTAACCTAACCTATCCTATCCTATTCTATCCTATCCTAACCTATCCTATCCTAAGCTAACCTAACCTAACCTATCCTAACCTATCTTATCCTATCCTAAGCTAACCTAACCTAACCTATATCCTAACCTGACCTCACCTATCCTAACCTAACATAACCTACTCAATTACACAGTTAAAGAGGGCCGCTACTTTGTTAAGGAACGTATCGTGTGGCTCCCTGGAGTAGTTGGCACAATTAATGCTCACCCTTGACAACTACTAAAGTGTGTTTGTTGTTTAAGTGTTTAGTTCGATTTGAATTTTGGGTAGCCTACGATCCTTCGATTCTAGACCTTAATTATATTTCTGATTCCTTTACGTGTTTCACAAAATCCAATACTGATTCGTTTTATGGGTAGAAAATATTAGAGTTATTTAAAACATCAGAATAGTTTGTCCATCCCCTGAATTCTTTTTAGTATATAATTTATAACTTTTCTAATGATTTGATCATTCTTGAATGATATTTAATCGACTCTAAAGAGTTATTCCTATATTTATTTTTTATAGTTTTCACATCAAGACCGTTCAAGTATGCGGTTGATAGGTGTGCGATATATGGTTTTCTCAATTCAGACCCTTAGTTTGTATCCTTTAATTATGTAGTAAATTAATATTGGATAGGACCAGGACCTATAATTGTAAAAAACTTCATAGGCCTCTTGTAGAATTATTTTAGAATTCGTACACCCGATCATTGAGTTACACATGCAGCTGTATAATTAAATTGATATATGCCGACACTTAATTGCTTCGCTAACATTTATTTTGGCCTCAACAGTTGGAACTGCCAATTACTATGTGAACACGTCAGTTTTACCACGGTTCTTGTATACGTGACAACTTCTAACCGTAGTGGCACTTTTGTCTCGTCAGGTATCCGACGTTCGCGTTCACTCTAAGATGATTTTCAAGATACTCTTTGTCGTATCAATCTGTGTAACCGGGATTCAATCAGTTTGCGAAGAAAAGGATCTCAACAACATCAAGAGTCTATGGAACGGCCGTTCTCCAGAAAACGTCCACTCATGGTATGACGGAACTTGGACTGGCTACATGATCTCCGAGACTAGACCAGGAGATAATGACAAATTGATATGTCATAAGGAGATTGTTGACGTTCTAAGGTCAAAAGGAACTTCAATCATACGTGACGATGACCCAAAATACAGCAACGATATGGAATTTACGTTTACCCAGTCGGAACAAGGAGTTTATGAGCAGACGTTTGTGTATAAACGTAAGGATGGAACAGACGTTCCGCATACATTCAAGAATTACTTGGTGTATCTAAAGGATGGCGTACAAGCGTTCTGGACCTGCGGGGATACTTTGCGTAAAGGAAATATCTCCATTTTCATCAAAAACTTCAATAAGGAAAGTGTTCCACAGTCTCAAATCGATGAAGCTTTGGCTGCCATCGAGGAGGCAAAACTGCCAAAACCTACAGTAATTCGAACCGACTGCCCGGACCGACCCAAGTGACGGATACACTTTTACTATTATACAGAAGTTTAACAAGGTTCTGTTGTAAGCGTGCGTATTAAATGGTGTGTCAATACATTTGTGTCTTATTAAATGCAATTTATCATTTCAACTATCAGGTGCGAAATAAAACAAAAAATTTGTTAAGTAGAATATACAGGGTGATTGATATAAGTGTGCCAGCTGTTTTATTCGAAAGTTATAAGGGATATAAACAAATTAAAAAATTGTAACTGCCTTGGATTTTTTATTTTAAAAATTTTGGTCAAGTTGAAAAAATAATTTAAGCTGTCATTTTTCGAATATTGCTGCCAACTTTGATTTTTCTTAAGGAAGACCCTATATGTTATGATTTGTTTAGAAAGTAAATGCCATTTAAAAACGTTTTTATTCCTGGAAGTTTTTCTCTAAATCGACTCATTTAAGAGTTGCAGCGTGTTAAAACTAAGAAAAAATTACTTGCAGTCTACATTACGCACCATGTAGCTCCTAAATTAGTAAGGTTAGAGAGAAAATGTTAAGAGTTAATAAATCTTAAAATTGCATCTAGATTCTTAAAATAAATAGTTTAATTATTTTAAAATTGTCTGCCGTTTTTGAAATAATGGAATCAATATTTTTAAGTTTTTAAAGGTCTTTTTAGAATGTAGAATTTTCTCTCTAAACTTACTCATATAGGAGCTACATAGCGCAGAATGTACCGCAAGTAATTTTTTCTTAGTTTTAACACGCTGTAACTCCTAAATGAGTAGCTTTAAAGAAGAAAATGCCAAGAATATATACGTTTTTAAATGGCATTTACTTTCAAAAAAATATTTAAATTTTATACAGTCTGCCTTCTATGATGCTCACAAATAGATTGCCGGTGTAAAACTATTTTTCAATTCAGTGTTGATTGTCGAAATGAATGGGGAAATGAATGTAAGTTGATTGTGTTGAATGTATAGAACCAATTTGTTCAGTTGAAATAGCTAAAAAACATGTTTAATTATTTATTTTGAATATGAATACTCGTAAGGTTAACATGGGAAACTACAGAGCCTCTGGGGCGAAGCCCTAAAGAATTTTAAAGTAAGAATATGCCTATATGTTATTCGGAAAAGTGAGCTATCATCATGCAGAATTTCTGCACAAACCGACCAGATAATGGGTGATGCGTGATTAAACCAAAAACACACTCAAACTTTTAATGGCGTGAATAAAGCCTGGAATTCGCAAGTCCAAGTCTGTCTATGTTTCGGCAATTACATAGTTTAAGTTTAAGTGACTTACTAGTGATATCTTGCGTTTTTTGGGTTGACTGGGACGTTGGCGTCGTCCTTTAATCCAGCTACTAGGAGGTCACGAATTGTGGATATTTATAGACATGCATTGTGGATGCGATGCTCCCTGGTGTGGATTAACGTCCATGTGAATGCTACTCCTAGCCACAGTGCTATCCTGATAATTAGACCAATTCGTTAATTACAAGGCAACAATTTGGTTCGGATTCTACTGTAAACTGTAGGTCCCTCAGTTGCCATTGGCTGTATGGCCTATTAATTAACATATGTGTCTAAGGAACATGTCAGCCTTAGTACTACTAACAAGACTACAAGATCGCGCCACTCATACTCCTATTAGGGTTAAAAATGCACCTAGTGGCGTCCTCATCTTAAATAATCGATAATTGATTGATTGGGTTCGTCACGATTTTGAACAGGGTGATTTCAAGATACAAAGATCTCGCTAGTAATGGCAAATGTTTATTGGGGAATGGGCACACGGGAGGGACAAAGGCTAAAGGTGTAGTGACGTCATATCTCTAGTAGCTAATGTATACTCTTGAGGCAACACGATTACCGTAACGAAACGATGAGTTTTCAGCGGCGTTCGTTGCGTAGTTAGTAGCGTTTCGATTTGGTGTTCAGGAGGTCCCGGGTTCGAATCCCGCTGGTAGCACTAACTTAAAATTTTTCATATCAGCAAGTTTGGTTGGTTAGGTTAGGCTATGACAGTTTAATTTTATAATACTAAATTTTAAAATTAATTTTATAATTAATTAAAAATTATAAGTAATCATTAATTAGATTTTTATCTTAGACTATACAGTTTTTATATTATCAGCAAGTCTGGTTGGTTAGGTTATGTTATGACAGTTTTATTTTAAAAATAAAAAAAATATTTTATAGTTTTAAAACAATATTTTATAATTAAAAAGTTAATTTTATAACGAAACATAAAAAAATGATTTTTTTTCAACTTAGCGGTTCTAGCGGCGAACGCTGACACTACAAGATATGTTAGCCTTAGTCCCTCCCGTGGATTCTAATCTGTAGAAGCTAAGATGTATTCACTCCAGTAAAAACTATATGATTTGAAAAGTGTATCTCCCAATCATTTCACGTAAATCAATTCCAGGAAGGTTTCTCCATCTGTCGGATGGACTGCACCAACCACTTCACCGCCAAGTTGGCGGAGAGTCTCAGCTTTGTCACACTTCCTCCGCGGAGTTGTCTCACCTTCCGGGACAAGAAGGGGTGTCCGTGGCTGCCGAGACAACCGCCGCATCCACACGGCAACATCGTCGTCTCTTACGACTTCCTTACATGATTCCGCACGATTAATAAATTATATATAAAAAAATAAACATTGTAGGTTTATTTATCTTGTTGAATATAAATCCGATTTGTGAAACTTTTTCCACACTAGATACTGTTACGAATCTTAGAACAGAAGTATGGATCATAAACATAAACAAACGACGAAACTGAACAGAATAGTATATTATTTTTTGTTTGTATGTATTATCCCACCTTTTAAATCCTAAGACGCTAGGTTCTAGCATAGACAAAAAGAATTAAATATAGACTGTCAGCCGTGCTTCGGTTACCATGGTTACCATAGGTTCCGGCGCACACCGCTGGGAGCGCCGTGCAGTTACTTAGCGTGTACGTCGTAACTACATGGCGCTCACAGTGGTGTGTGCCAGAACCTATGGTAACCGCATCACGGCTAACGGTCTATATTTAATTTTTTGTGTCTATGGTTCTAGATAGACCTCCCATGTAATGTAAAAATTTTAAGCAAATAACGTGATGCAATCTGTTGAGATGGTCTACCAACTAATAACAATATTCTTCGTTAAGTGATAAATCAATCAGCTGTTTGCTATGCTACTGCAATGGTTTCAATTAATGTTTAACACAATACACTAGTAAACTCTGTTGAGATGGTCCTGAAAATCACCAATTTTATTAATATTTTGAGTTGTTTTTGTCTCTGGATCACAGAACAAACTATAAGAGGTATAAAATTACCTGAGTACTGCCAGAGTGATCCTGTTGGTCCTTACGGATTACGCGTTTCGAGGAGCTTAAGTCCTCATCATCAGATCTTGTACAAGAAACACATCTATCACTTTGAAAAGGTCGTCAAAAGTTTAAATATACAACACGGACACATAATAAATTAACACATTTTACGATTACGGGTAGGCCTACCGACAAAAACTTGCAATGTCCGACCGCACAGTTGTGCGGTTGAATTTGAAAGCCGGGAATCCTGTAATATGATCCATCTGGCGTAGCTTTTGAGGTGGTGTTTTGTACAGAGGCTTTGTCGGGGCAGGTAGCAGGTTGATGACGTAAGCCAGGAGTTAAGTGGGTTATGAACAGTTCCGAAAAAGTAGTTAAGTTAGCTACAACTACAGCTACAATGAAATGTAGCTACAGCTATAATTTTAGCTACTTTTCCAAAAGACGTTACTTTTACTTTTACTTGGTCATGACTTTAACCTACAACTGTGCGGTCGGACATTGCAAGTTTTTTTCGGTAGGCCTACCCGTAATCGTAAAATGGGTTTATTTATTATGTGTCCGTGTTGTATATTTAAACTTTTGACGACCTTTTCAAAGTGATAGATGTGTTTCTTGTACAAGATCTGATGATGAGGACTTAAGCTCCTCGAAACGCGAAATCCGTAAGGACCAACAGGATCACTCTGGCAGTACTCAGGTAATTTTATACCTCTTATAATTTTATTAAGTTTTTATATCACATGGGAGAGTTGATGAAAGCTAAGAACTGTTTTACAAATATCTTAAGGCTAGTCCAGAGGGTCGCGACATTATCACATACCGGTAAATAAAATTCATTGGTGATTTAGCGGGATTTAAACCCAGAACCTCAAGCTCCTAAGCCACGCGGTCTAGCACTTGAACAACTCCCTCTTTTAATTATTAAAATTGACATATTATGTTTTAGACGTTTTTAGACAATTCCGTTAAAATAAAAATACCAAATAATATGTTCACCTAGTGTCGTCATTTGTTTATGTGTAAGACCCATAGTTTCTGTTATCAAATGTATGGGTACTATGTGGTCATTCGAGGACGTTGCTGATATTGTGATTTTGAATGTGTTTTTCAGTTGTTACATAATATTTGTAGCTTGTTTACAGAACATATCGACATAAACCATTAAGCCAGAAAAATATGTAACCGTTAAATAACTACATCTAGTAGTCAATAAACAAATATATTTTTTTAAATACATTTTTGTTATTTATATCCTAACCATTATCCTGCAAATGATAAATTGAATTTATATTATTGTTATTACTATCAATACTGTTAATCTTATAAATATAAAATACCAAAAGTGTTTGTCGTATACCATTTTGTATTCTTTGTAATTTTACACCGCAAGTAAATTTACAGAAAAAAATTGTTAAGGGAGAACAATTATTGCGAATGAGTGTAACGTAGAACAGGTGGTTAGAAAATGCAATGTAACAAAGGTGAATTTAAAACTACAAGGCTAAATTCACTATAAAATATAATTTGTATGTAAACATTATCGTATAAGAAGAAAATCCAATTCAGAAACTCTGAAGAAGTAAAGGAAGTAGTCAAGTGTCAAAGAAGTAGTCCTCAGATCGTTAGTAGTGAAGACAAGACGGAAGCGCAATCAGAGAGACTTTGTGGTGACTGAAGACACTTGGAACACGTCTTGGGACTGACACAAGGTAACTTTGTTGGTTGAAACTCTGGAGAAGTAAAGGAAGTAGTTAAGTGTTAAAGAAGTGGTCCTCAGATCGTTAGTAGTGAAGACTAGACGGAAGCGCAATCAGAGAGACTTTGTGGTGACTGAAGACACTTGGAACACGTCTTGGGACACAAGTTAACTTTGTTGGTTGAAACTCTGGAGAAGTAAAGGAAGTAGTTAAGTGTCAAAGAAGTAGTCCTCAGATCGTTAGTAGTGAAGACAAGACGGAAGCGCAATCAGAGAGACTTTGTGGTGACTGAAGACACTTGGAACACGTCTTGGAACTGACACAAGGTAACTTTGTTGGTTGAAACTCTGGAGAAGTAAAGGAAGTAGTCAAGTGTCAAAGAAGTGGTCCTCAGATCGTTAGTAGTGAAGACAAGACGGAAGCGCAATCAGAGAGACTTTGTGGTGACTGAAGACACTTGGAACACGTCTTGGGACACAAGGTAACTTTGTTGGTTGAAACTCTGGAGAAGTAAAGGAAGTAGTTAAGTGTCAAAGAAGTGGTCCTCAGATCGTTAGTAGTGAAGACAAGACGGAAGCGCAATCAGAGAGACTTTGTGGCGACTGAAGACACTTGGAACACGTCTTAAAAAACTGTAAGAAGGGCTTGGTTTTGCATGTGTAGGTTTCGACTCTGGACCTCAATTATATTTCTGATTTCTTGAGGTGTATCACAAAATATAATATTGATTCGTTTTATATGTACAACATATTTTAAGTTATTTGAAGCATCAAGAAAGTTTCTACATCCCTTGAATTATTTTTATAGCAATGTATTATATTTTTTGATCATTCTTGAATTATTTTTCATGGGACCTTAAGATTTATTCCCATCTTTTTTATACTTTTCACATCAAGACCTTTCATTTAAGCATGTGGTTGATAGGTGCGATGTTTATGGTTTTCTCAATTCAGATCCTTCTTAGTTTGTGACTTTAATTTTGTAGTAAACTTAATTATGTGATAGGACCAGGACCTATAACCGTGAAAGACTTTAGAGGCCTAGCTCTTGTAGAATTATGTTAGACTTCGTATACCTGATCAGTCAGTGAGTGAGTGACGCATGTGGAGGGTAATTAACTTGATATATGTCGACACTTAATTGCTTCGCAAACATTGATTTTGGTCTCAACAGTTGGCACTGTCAATCATTACTAAAGAACACGTCAGTTTTACCACGGTTCTTGTATTAGTACGCAACAACTTCTAACCGTAATATCACTGTGGTGCTCCTCTTATCAGTATCCGAAGTTCGCGTTCTCCGTGTTATCATGATTTTCAAGATACTCTTCGTCGTATCAATCTGTGTAACCGGGATTCAATCAGTTTGCGTAGAAAAGGATCTCAACAACATCGAGAGTCTATGGAACGACCGTTCTCCAGAAGATGTCAACTCATGGTACGGCGGAACTTGGACTGGCTACATGTTCTCCGAGTTTGAAGAGGGAGAAAACGAAAAAGTTGTATGTCATCAGGAGATTGTCGACGCTCAACAGTCAAAAGGAACTTCGAGTGAACGTTACAAAGACGAAGGAGACAACGCGCCGATACGGAATTTACGTATACCCAACCAGAACAAGGAGTATATAAGCAGATATTTATGTATAAAGATGAGGATGGGAAAGATGATCCACATACATTCATGAATTACTTGGTGTATGTAAATCCCGAGGCTGGTGTACATGCGATCTGGACCTGTGGGGAGAGCGTGTCTAGAGGAGCTTCCTCAATTTTCATCAAAAACTTCAAAGAAAAGAAAGAAAAGAATCAACTTCCAGAGACTGCAGTGCAAGAAGCTTTGCATGCTATCGAGGCGGCAAAACTGACAAAACCAGATCACGTTCTCACCAACTGCCCCAAGTGACGTGTACACTTTTACTGTTATACAGAAGTTTAACAAGGTTCTGTTGCAAGCGTGCGTATTAAAAGGTGTGTCAATAAATGTGAGTCTCATTTGCAATTTATAATTTCATCCAGGTGCGAAATAAAACCAAAAATATGTTATAAAATAAGGTAGGAATACATGTTTATTCTATTTTACTTTATACAGTCTGCCTTTTATGATGCTAACAAATAGATTGCCGGTGTACAACTAATTTTTCAAATCAGTGTCGATTGTCAGTTGTATCGAAGTAGTTAACAACGCAATCGCAAGAGATGTTAGTGATGTAAGATAAAAGTAATGTCGCAAAAATCGCTTAATATTGTAAATTCTCACTGCAACTGCTAACCATTGTTCACGTTGTAGCGTACATTTTACACTATTGAATTACCCTAATAGTAAAATCCATGGATAATTTATTTGGAAGGTGTTTCATTAATTAATTAACAAATTAATTTTATCAATATCCATGGCAGTAGAAAAATACTCTACAGATGCGTTTTTCTCCACTTGTAACGATTAAGACTTAATCCAACCTCTATATACTTCATTTGTCCCTTAATTATATAGTCATCATTTTCTGCAATATTAATTGTTGTGATTGTCTATAGCTCTGAAGATACAAAAGATATTAAAATAATTGTTAATCTACTGGATAGGGGCACTCATTCTCAACAA